CGGGCGCCGCGAGGGGAGAGGCCGGGCCAGGAGGAGGCGGCTGCGGCGCGCGGCCCTTCCCGCCGACGTCCCCTTCCCCTCCCCCCGCCTCTGCCCCCAGCGAGATATGGCCCTCGCGGCGAGGCCCTGAGATCAGCCCCGGGCCCGAGGGGAGGGGCACTCACTTTCGGGACATCGCAGTGGGAACCGGCTGCTCTCAAAGTGGATTATCCCAGCTCTCCCGGGGGCGGGAAGCGGGGGTCTTCCCCCTGCCGCAAATCCGCGAAGAAACCAACGAACGAAGAAGAAGATGACGCGGAGTCCAGGTCCTCGGAGTCCCCCTCCAACTGCTTCGGCTTCGTGGCCTACTCATTAAACTCGGGGGAGAAATCGCGGGTCAAGATTAAGACCCTGAGCCACCAGCCTGCCTGTTCCAGCACCTCCCGCTCGGAACGCTCTCTATCTCCTTCGCCTTCGCCCTCGCCCAGAAAGCTCCGGTGCGTGGACCAGCGAGAGCCCCAGGAGGAGGAGAAGCGCGAGCGCGAATGCGAGCGCAGCCACAAAAAGAGAAGGGCGAGGGAGGGCAACCCCAAGGACACTCTTGACCTTCTGTGGCTAGGGTGAGTGAGGGTGCATGGAGCACACCAACGCCAGCTGCGGGTTCTGCGGAAAACAGAATCCATACCCCCCGCGTCGGCCTGGCACCGTCTGATAGAGTGCACCGTCTCGGTCTCTGGAACAGAGCAGGAGGCAGGAGGAGAACCATGTCGTGGTGTTGGAGGTGTGGCAGGTTGGAGGGGAAGGCCCAGAGGCCAGCCAGAGCCTTTGGAGGGAGCTGGACAGGTCAGCGGTTGGTGCTCTGGCCTTTGAAAGCAGGGACCAACCCAGTTTCTAGGCACACTAGGTGGAGATGTTGAGTCCCTAACCGGGGACTTGACAGACAGTTCTCTTCTTCCCCATGGGGAAGGGTGAGGCTTTGGGAGGGACAAGCAGTTATGTTTTCAGCTGGGCAAACATGGACGGTTGCCTGTAGAAACTTTGCCACTGTACTTCATGGAGTTGCCCAAGCCATTGGAGGAGAACAATGTGTTCCCTTTCCAGACATCCTAGTCCACTAGGGGGTGGAGGATGTGATGTTTTCCTCTTGGATTGAAACTGGTTTGTGGCTTCAGTTTCTCTTCTTTCAGAGGTTTTGTGGTAGTGGTCACTTGCAGTTTTTAGCATGCCTCCAGACCTTTTTGATTTAGGAGTGGGAATTTTCTAGTTACTTAAAATTCTCTAGGGAACTCTTAGAATATTGCCATTCTCACAGTTAAATCTGAACCTCTTTTCTGAAGTGAGAATTTTGCAACAGGCCAGTGGTAATTAGTGGCAGCCTGCTCGCTGGAATTCACTAGAAACAACTGTTTTTACCATGTCGATGGTAATAATGCAGTTCTTTTTATTTCTTATAGGAAACTCTCAGCTTTTTAAACCTTCTAGCCTACCCCCACACTCATCCACAAATCTAAATGTAAGAAGGGTTTTTCTTTTTGAAAAAGTAGAGTCTCCATTAGGACACAGTGAGGTTAAAAGGCAAAAGGAAGTCTTGGACAAAAACCATGCAACCATGCGTAGCAGCCATACCTTTTCTGTGGCGTAGTGTTGTACTGGAGGAAGACAATGTTTTGTAAACTTTCTGTATGTTTCCCAGGAGTCGCTTAGTATTTAAAAACCAATCCTGGGTCAGTTGTTGTGTTGGTTAAGGTGACTGGATCCCACATGGCTAACACTGCAGTTCAAGTCCTGGACCTGGCATCTTGAACACATGCCACACGTACTCAAAATCCTGAAAGAAGGGACTGCAATGTGACTGACCTCTGTGTGTGTGTTGGGGGCGTGGTGATTTCTCTGTCTCTTTGGCAAGCACACACCCTGGGGTGGGGGATGGGAGATGTCCCTTATGAGCCACCCTGAGCAATAGAGCTCGTTTCTGAAACAGCTGTCCGTTCTAGCTTCCAGGAGCCTTGGCTCTGCAGTGACTACAGCTTCAACCTCAGAGCTTTGGTGTAAAGGGGTGATCAAGATCTGCTACCGAAGGCTTGGTTTTTCCTTTCGCAAATACGTGTTTTATTTAAATCTTGTCCAGAGGTGCTCAGAATGTTATAGCCTGCTGCTCTCCGGAGATTTTTGTTTAATAAACATTCATTCTCTTGAAGCAAAGTATATATACATAAATATGCCTATAGATGTGTTGGCTTCCAAAGTGAGTTGTTGCCACCCCCACTCGGACATCTTCATTTATGTGTTCCACTTGAGCCATTCCTGCAGGAGATGAGTTTGGAGTAGGCGTTAATGGTGTGTTCTGTTTCTCTCCAGAACATCTTCCACCATGGCCACCTCAGCGAGTTCCCAGTTGAACAAAGGCATCAAGCAGGTGTACATGTCCCTGCCACAGGGCGAGAAAGTCCAGGCCATGTATATCTGGATCGATGGCACTGGTGAAGGACTGCGCTGTAAGACCCGGACCCTGGACTGTGAGCCCAAGTGTGTGGAAGGTGAGAGGGACAGGGTGGGCGAAGCCCATGCTAGGTAAGGGGCAACAGCCTTAGACCCAGCAGCTAGATCTGGCCTCTCACTGTTTATAAAAAGCTTTCCTAAGGCAGGAGTTTTCGGACTGCATTCAGTCAGCCTTAAGCTCCTACACTGCCTCAACGCATAGCAACAATGAGACCCTTTATTTAAATGGAATCTTGCATGTGAGTCAGTATTGAAGAAAAAAGACTTAGAGTCTGGTGTATGGAGGGTGAGGGGCTGGAGACTTGCTGACTCTTGTCCCTGCCTAGCTGACCCTAAGGTAACCTCAGGAACCCAGTTTGGAAACCACTGCTCTAACCTGACTACACCATCTACAAGTTCTTGGAATACTTACTTAATGCTCATATCAGTGAGTTTCTAGAGACAGAACAAACTCTCTAAAGTGATTTCTAAATTTGAGACTAGCCAGCCACTTGGTTTTAGTTGGTGTCACTTTGAAAAATTCTTAAGCATTCTGATCGCTTCCAGGAGTGACTTTTTTAGAGTTGTGACCTTCATTTTTCAGTCTAGAAAAAGTCCTAACCCTCCCTCTTCTGGAACATGGTCAGAGGGAAAAAAGTCACCTCCTACCTACTTCAGGATAGCTGCTTCTTCTGATAGTGTTTACGTTTGAGTGATTGCTATACAGATAACTTTCTGCTTTCAGACAGCTCAGTCAACAGGAGAGACGTACTGACCTTTAAGACATAGAGGGTGGGTCAGCTCTATGGCCTGATGGTTAAGGTAGCTAAATCCCACATGACTGACCACGGTGTTTGAGTGCTGGACCTAGTATCTTGAGAAACCTGGTATCTTGCTAAGCACATGTATGTATGTTCCCAAAATTCTGAAAGAAGGGAGAGAGGAGGAGAAAGGATTGTAGTGTGACCATTCCCCTTGGGAAGTACTTTCTTGTTCTGTCTCTAAAGAATGCTAAATAAATAAATAAATAAATAAATAAATAAATAAATAAATAAAAATAAAGGAAAATGTGTATACAAGATATGGGGGGCATCTTCCCACCCTCTCTTCAGAGAGATTTTGCCATAAGGCACCTGTGCTTGCCAAAGAGACAGACAGAGAATAAGAAATCACTCCCAGGGAGGATGGCCATGCCACAGTCCCTTCTCCATTCTCCACTTGGGATTTTGGGCATGCACGCACGCACAGACGGTGTGAGTTTCATGCTGCTGGGTACAGGACTCAAACTGGTTTGCCATGCGGGAATCCAGCACCTTAACCACTATGCCACCTGCTGGCTCCTAAGTCATTTTGCTAGTTGTTTCCTTATATTAAAATAAGGACACAACTTGAACTAGAGTAGTTTGTAGACACGGCAGGAGAATGAGAATGGAATAGCATATGTGGTTTACTGGAAGAGTAAGACTCTTCTCTCATCTCAGTATTGTAAATGATTACTCAGGTAGTGATATCAGAATACTTTAGCTTGTCTCCAGCAGACTTCTTTAGAGAAGAAATGGCCTTTACATTGTTTTTGTGACTGGTAAGGAAACAGTACACTGGTCTTACTTGGAACTCAGACAGGAAGGACTTCAAGGCTAGGCGTAGACATTAGGGCTTACATATTGGTGGGCACGTGCATCCTTCACTGTCTTGAAAGAAAGTAAACCTTTAAAGATGGAAAACGTGAGTGAGGGGCTATCTGAATTCTTGTCTAGGAATCTCCTGTACATTATTAAATTAATTTTCTCTTTTTATTCCAGAGTTGCCAGAGTGGAATTTTGATGGTTCTAGTACTTTTCAGTCTGAAGGTTCCAACAGTGACATGTATCTCATCCCTGCTGCCATGTTTCGGGATCCCTTCCGCAAGGACCCCAACAAGCTGGTGTTCTGTGAAGTTATCAAGTACAATCGAAAGCCTGCAGGTGTGTCTGATGCTCCCACCCCAGGCAATGAATGCTGTGAGGGTGAGAGAGAAAATACTCTGAAATCAATATTGGGAAGATGAGACCATCAAAGAACTGTTTTTAAGAATATGGAGGATTAGGTGTCCATCTCTCCACCCTGAACTTCCTCTTTGAAAGAGATAATGTGGGTCCATCTTTCCATGGTCTCCTCTGTCCTTTGCATGAATTGGTGTTAGATTCCTTTAAATCTATTGACTGGTGTACGCTCCAGTGAGACAGCCCTCCTGTCTGTCTCAAGATGTTTAAGAATGTGGATTCTAGGGGCTGGCAAATGATGTGGTGGCTAAGTGTGCTGGGCTTCCACATGGCTCACCATGGTTTGAGTCCCAGACCTGGTGGCTTGCTTTCTCGCTTACCCTCTCTCTTTCTCTCACTCTGTCCCACTCTGGTCATATTTTAAAAAATAATTAAATAATTCTTTCAAACAAACAAACAAACAAAAAAAAACAAGAAAATGAGAGAAGAATGTGGATTCTGGAGTCAGAAGTGTCAGGTTTGACTTGGGATTTGCCATTACTACCAATGAACTTGGACAAATTATCCCTTGTGCTGCCTCCCTTTCACAAATGGGGAAAATAATGAAATCTCAAAGCTGTTTAGAAGATAAAATGAAATAATGTGTGAATCATTTGCAACAATTTACGTCAAATATTAGTTGCCATTTCTCCCAGGCGACTCTCTATCTGCTCTGACCAGACTGAGCATCTTGGTTCACTGATAACATATACTTGGCTTGAGCTTTGCTGTAACCACACCTTTGGGCTCCTGTTTGTGCCGTCTGGCCTGTCTGGCACATCTGTGCTTGCTTTTCAGCTAGTCATTTCTTCAAGTCCTG